CTCAGTCTCAATGTAGCCTGATGTCAGGCTGGGTGTGACATGCAACTGACGCACTGGCCACTCATACTACCCTCACACACTGCCCTGTCCATCTGCTCCATTCGTGCCGTGAGCAGTCCATGCCTCATCTTATTATGTAAGTGGAATCCAAAAGAGGGAAGGAAAGGGGGAAAGAGAAGAGGTAGAAAAAGGAAGGAGAAAGAAGACAAGAAGGAAGCAGCGGTATGCAAAAAGGGAAGAAAGAAAGACAGAGAGAGAGAATGAGAGGGGGAGGATATATTTTTAGGAGTCTCCAGGCTCGTCTGAAACCACTTCAGTGGCTCGGGCAGCGCGCCTGGAGCTGCTGGGTTTCATTGTGCAGTGTGCCGTCCGCAAAGACAGGCCGTGCTTTGTGCAAGCGCACCACAGCCAGGGCACCTAACGAGGGGTTCCTACACTCCAAATAAAAGAGTGCAGCTGTATCAAGGCCACCCCTACTAAAAATAACACCACCCCCCACCCCCAAGTCCCCCCTGTTTAATTAGAGCGACGTCAGGATTCCTCCTCATTCTGCCAAAGGGAGCAGGATGTGGAGGGGACTCACAGTCAACCATGACAAATAACAGAGGGGCAAAACGAGAGAGAATTGGGCCTTCTAAAATATTATCTTTGTCTTTTTCTGAGTTTTTTTTTTTTGTTTTTTTGTTTTTTTTTCTCTTTTCTCTTTTCTCTATTGGGCCAGTACAGGTGTGTGTATATACTCCATTGTCTAGAATGGTGGATCTTAAACGATTCATGGACTAAATGGTTTGGTTTGAGGAACAAAAATATATTTGTACTGCAGTTCTTAGGATGCCCCTTTAAAATCTCATCTTTGGCTTATTTTTCTTTGGCTTATTTTTTTTTTATTTTTACAATCGATCAAGGAACAGGTGGGTATGCACATGTAACCTTAAAAAGAAAGGTGCCAATGAGTGTTTTTTGCAGTGATGCTACATTAGGACCACTTTTGATTCCCTTAATAACCTTTCATTTGTTTGCTTCTTTTTCTAAGTGAGATGTGTCCATAGTAATTGAACTTTAAACTGTTGGGTTACCTACTGAAACTAACATAGATGACATTGTTGTAGAACAGTGGTTTTCAATGCCGTGCAATCCACACTTTTTCTTTATCCCTATGTGTTGCAAGTTGGGTTAAAACAAAATGTTGAACTGTCTGGGGGCCCTGTGGACCACTTTTTGGAAGAACTGTTGAGCTGCACCAGTTGAACACATTGTGCATGCCTATACAAAAAGCCACCTATGGTAAGGTGTTTTAGGACATCCTCAGACTCATCTTTTACTGAACTGTACTATTATGTTTTTGTATTTTACAGAGATTAAACTTTAACTCAAACACTTTTTCACTTTGTTTGCTTACCATTGCTTACTATTTCAGGGATAGGAATAAAAGGTAAAGCAAAGAAAAAATAATATCCCCCCGATATCCCCCTAAATGGCTTAACAGTTTACCACAGTTATTTTCTACATGGTTATGCAAATAAGAGAATTTTATTTCTAGCACAGACCTAGAGTGCACTATACTACAGTTTGAATTGAGTAATTCTTAACAGTTTTCTAAAATCGTTTTTGTTTTTATTTATTTAGTTTCTCAGAAAGTAATGGTCCAGTCCAACTGCGTATGCACATGCTCTATTGCAATTTGGCTTGGGTAATCTTTGAGCTCTGGTCATCAAGACTTCAAAAAGACTGCTTGACCTGTAAATGTTTGGAGTATATGCTCCACTGTACAGCCATGAAAAAGTCAGGATAGAAAGCTAGACCAAAGGAACCATGAGACAGTTTAACTCATATCTACCCTGACTGCTGTTAATATGTAATGAGCATCGCATTAGCCCTGTCTAATGATTCTATAAGCTGCTGTTTAATAATGGAAAACATCTCTTGAGCCTTAAATGCTGACATTGCAACTCACAGCACAGGCAATGGAAAAAATATAAATGTAAAGACAACAGTCTCAAGAAGGTATTTGGTCTAAAACACTTAACTAAAGAACTTTAACTAAGGCTGGCCTTTGCTCTTGACAAGAGATATGATGTATTTCTTCATTTCACAGCCTTATATTGTAAGAACATTCATGATGATATTCACACCTCATTAACATCTCTTCAATACTGGCTCTTACAGTAATGATAATAGTATGTTTCTCCTTGACTTCACATTGGTTAATGTGTTCAGTGTAACTTAACTAGTGTTTTCTGCTGCTACTATATCAGCTGTTTTTCCATTGCCTTTACTGTACTAAGAGGTAATGATTTCCCCATATAATACTAAAGCTAACCATGCATTTTAACCCTGCCGGCGAATAAGCGTGAGAACCACAGTCCTGTACATGGTCTGGGAGAAGGCGCCTCCATTTAGTTATTCATTTTTCTCAATGGTTAAACATTCCCTGCCCCTTAGCTTCATTTCTTTTTGCACTTACAGCAGGTTACATACATGGACTACATTATCAGTTCGGCACTGTTCAAACTCAACACAAAAGAATACAAAGTATTGCCTACAGTGTTCACAAAAGTCAATTGAGTCAGTCTGTATGAGAGTATAGTGTTAGTGCTGTTTGGTCTGCAGCAGTGGGTCAATAAAGCATTTCACCCCTCACTGCTTCACTGTGTCAAGCATTTTATTGTGTGTCAGCAATGGACACTGATAGGAAGCAATTACAGGGGTCAGAGGTGAAGTGATTAGCAGTAATTAAGGTTAGCGGGGCTGCTAATTGTCTGTGGTGTGCAGAGACAAGGTCATTGGACATTGTCTCTATGTCAGATTCCTAATGTGGAGGGTTCTGTTTCTCTGGCCAAAAAGAGCTTAGATACTTTTCACCCCACCGAACACCATATGACCCATGTGTTTTCCTTTTTGTCTGAAAAATCTTTTCGAATGTTCTTGGTAAGTTCTTGGGAAAGGCAGTTTTGTTATATACTTTCGTGAAAAATGCCCACTCCCCTTCACAGATGTGAGTCTGCATCTATGGTTCTTTTGTGTGTGCAAAATCCCCCTCAGAAACCCTGACTAAACTTTGTCTGATGCTATCAGGAACTCGCCAAAGCAACCAGGCATGCATGTGGCCATTTCCGTTTCATGGCTCTGTTCACTTTTGCATGGAGAATGGACGATGAGCCGCTCCTGTTTTTGAAGCCTCTCTGCTCATGAATGCCCATTCAGTGCCTGTTTGGAAACATAAAGCTGTGTTTGTCTTAATGGATGTCAATCTTGTGCTTATCTAGACGGTTAACGATATGTGAAACAGATAAAGATCGTTTTCTACATTAGAATCCATTGGATCCAATGAGCTTCATGTTTCTGGAATCTGGACTAGAATTGTGTGAGTCAAGAATGCCCTGTAGAAGACAAATCATAATTCCAATAAAGTTTAACTGCTTATAAAAACAGAAAACACACTTTATAAACTTTGTTTTTTGTAAATACACAATCATTCCAAATTTGAAGTCTGCCTTACCTTCATAAAAAGCTCATCTTTCCTTTTAACAACGCTTAATAATCGTTTGGGGACTAAAGACACCTGCTGATCCAGTTTTTAAAGGTAGATTTTAAATTTGTTCCCCATTCTTCGGTTGTACAAGTCTTCAGCTGTATAACTGTTTGAAACTTTGGTTGTTGTATGTTTTCAACATGTTTTCAATGGCAAAAAGGTCTGGACTCCAGACAGGCCAGTCTAATGCCTGCACTGTCTGATTATGCAGGTGTGGTGTTATAACATGTGTAAGTGTGGCTTGGCGTTGGCTTGGCGAAGTAATTATGCTAGATGTCAGCATTATGTTGCTCCAAAATATGTATATACCTTTTAGCATTAATGGTGCCTTCATAGATGTGCAAGTTACCCAATAATATCTCCCCATACCATGACAGACCCTGGCTTTTGAACTTTATGCTGGTAACAGTCAGACTGGTGCTTTTCTTCTTTGGCCCAGAGAACACAGCCATTTCATAAACGTTCTGAAAGGTTGACTTGTCAGACCACAATACGTGTTTTCACCGTGCATCAGAGCTTTTCAGATTTACTTGAGCCAACAACATTCAGAGGCGTGACAGTTTTTAATGCTGTTTTGGTTCTCGCAGTTGTGGGCATTCTATTGTGGTTTTTGGCCTTGCCCTTTTCAAAGAGAGATTTCTCCAAATTACCTGAATCTTTTAGTGATAGCATAATATCTGACCTAAATGACCAGGCCTTTCCTGAAGGCTCCTTTTATACCCAAGCATGATTGTATCCTTTGTTCAACATTATGAACATTTCACAACATTCCTAGTCTTAGTCCTGTGCCAACCCTTTTGGAATGTGTTGCAGGCATCAATTTCAGAATGAGCACATATTTATAAAAAATATAGGTAAAACATTGAAATATCTTTTGATTTTTGTTTAAATACAGGTCAAAGTGAATTTACAAATGATGCTTTCTGTGTCTCAATTTCCAACTTTTTGGAATTGAGGTTTGTATATTTTTTGTGTTTTAGTTTAGCCATACAAGGCAGAAGTGTGCAGCTTCCACACTAAGAGGACCAGCTTTTAACACAGGACTCCAAAAGCCCCTTTAGTGTTGAGACAGTGCAAAACTAATTTGGCCTTTGGAATGAAACATGGTGAAAACACATGCGACAGACCCACACAGCAGCAGTTTAACAGCCTTTTGTCCCAGACACCACCAAATCATTCCCAAGCAGTGCTGCTTTGGTCATGCAGGTAGTGAAATACTCCACATCTAATTTTTCTTTCTTTTTTGGGTGAAAGCAAACAGTTTTTGCTTAGAAGTCTTTTTTACTCCTACAAAATGGTGCTTGCTTTGTATTAAATGCTGAATGTTGTTTTATGTCTTAGAGAGCAATTAAATGCCTCACAAAAGGCCTAGTTTATGAACAGAAGGGATATAAGAGCAGGGAGAGCATTTTTTGTTGTGGCCAGTTTACTGTGATTTCCCTAAAGCAAATGCTTTTTGTATTTGCAGGTTGTGATGTCCCAGACTGTAGCATGTCCCCTGAAACCTTACAGAACATATTTCCACCGAACGTCATCATAAATCAACAAGGTAAAATGGTCCTCTGTTGCTATTTCTGCTCAGAAGCATCAGCCGTATTTCCACTAATCCCCTTCACCTTCAAAGAAAGAGAGCCTGTGTCTCCCTCAGCTTTTACATACTTAATACATTCAGCATGTGAGACAAACCCAACCAAATATTTACAGTTACATCTAAATGTACTTACACATTCCAGTGTAGATGCAAGCTAGTGTTAAATAAGGCCAAAGTTTTGTAAGACCTACTCCCCCAAATTTAACACATCATATGAGAAATTCAGGGAAATGAGGCAACTCTTCCTGGTTAGCTGTAAATTATACCATGTGACCTTGCAGACCACGTAGAGCGTTGAAGCCCACACCAACTGAGGCCACCGGCAGAGAAGGCCTTGGGGTGAGAGGACAGCTGAGATGTTTGGTCGGGGAGTAATGCAATGGTCAGAATGCTCATCTTGTGTGTAGAACACCTAGAAGGCCAGCGTTGGAGCAGCACTGGTCAGAAAGTTAGATGCTATTAGTGAGTAAAGCTGCATAATACGGTAAAAAAAATATCATATTTCATACAATTGTAATGTGAGGGGGTTCTCAGTGGAAACTCAATTTGCAACTCAATTTTTGTCCATAATGCATCTTTACGTAGAACTTGGCACAGCAAACAGAATACAGGAGGGAAAATGACCCTCAGTCTAAATCACAGCTCATACCGTTAGCTGGCTTAATTTAGCTCTCACTAACCTGCTACAACATCCAGCCCTGGCAGTTCTTTGCTCCCCCCGCCCATCACATTAAGAGTCCATGCAAAGCTTCGTATTTTTAACTAAATTGATTTACATTTGTTGGAACATGTTAATGCCTTGATTCATTCCAACACCCAAAGAACATATATATATAATATAGGACAATTTTACTGTCCAAAAAAGTAGTTCCATTGACTGAGAGTAATCAGTGGAATGATACAGGTGTGGTGAAAACTCTGGTGCACCATGACTGTTAGAGCTGGGCTTTCAGTCCATAAACATCAAAACCTGGCCTAAAACCTCTACAGTAGTGCTAATTTCTGCTTAATGTTGTATTTAGGACTTACAGAAGGCCTAGAGTGACTTTTTCCCTCGTGAAATTCGTACCGGCTGTGGGAAATCAAATCGTGACTGGCTGATTCCAGTCATTCCAGACAATTATGTTGGCAGTTAATCTAACACGCAAGTCCTTCAGTCCAGCTCCTGAAGACTTAACCACTGAGACAGGTTGCTTGGCTGTATCTACCTAGATAACAGGGGTAAAAAGTCTTGACTGGACAATTTTCCTTTGTGCATGGCAAGATTTTAATCATTTTGTTTACAACCAAAACTTAGCAAAAAGAGTATGCAGTACTTGCAGAGTTTAAACAGAACCATGACAATAATATTAATTAAAAATTAGCCACAAATTACAGATGCATTTTTAATTCTCAGAAACAGTAAACCTTCTCTGACAACAAGGGTAGAAGATTTTTCACCCAGTCAGACTGTGTATTTGTAACTAACTGTTGTGACAAAGTAACAATTAGCAAATGATAAACTGTGCAGACCTTCACCTGAAAAAAAACCCAGGTCAAAGATTTCACATGGAATTCTACTTTAAAAAAGTTTAGTCTCTTTAGAGGCAAATCGTTCATTAGTGTTGCAGTCAAAGTCAAAGTGTAGCTCACTCAAGCTTATTTTCCTTTTGCATAGGCTTGTTGTGAAGTCGTTCGTTAGTTGTATGCATTGTGCTTGTTGTCATGTTCTTGCAACGCTTTCCCAGCTTAGAGCGGATATGCGAGCAGATGCGTCTGCCTGTTCTTAAAGGAGTGTGAAAGATTCTCCCGCCGTTCAGCAATAACTGCCTCAAAAAGGGAGACAGAGTTAAATGACCCCTCTCCAACATTTAGACTATAATCCTGAGAAGCTTATGCTAAGCCTGGACGACAGAGACTGCTACTTATGTGTTTGATCAACTGGGTACAGGATTGCTCCCAAACTCTATTACACCAGATGAAAGTCGTTCAGCCTTAAAAACTGCAAGAGAGTCTCTTCTGCAGGTCTCAAGTCAAACCACCCACCCGTTTTACTTCGACCCACAATTACTTTGAGCGGAGGTCAGTCGCCCAGAATTGTCGCTGTCTGTTCATGCTCAGCCACAGAGATGCATGTGTGGGTTGGGAAGGAATGAAAGGGAGACATTAACCCTTTCTTTACTCATGAGCAACAAGCAACACATTTGGGTCAATGAGGGCATAAGAGGTTTTTTCCCAGCGCAAATGAGGCTCCATATTAAAACAACTGCACAGTAGCAACCAGCAAAGCCATGGATAGAGTTAATTAGGATGTGTTTCGGCTTAGTGTTATAAAATATTAAGATTCTGGAGCACTACTATGCAAATATATATTTCATAAGTTGTCTATTAGAGAATGTTATGAATAGTGTATTCATATGTTTTGGAGCAGCCGAAACAGGCTAGCAACTGTAGGGTCGCTGGTTCAAATTTAAATTTGACAGGGAATTAGCATTTTGGCTTAAGCTCAGATGCCCCAGAGGTACTTAGGAACAGAACTTTTTTTCAGTACTTTTTTTTTTACTGGACAGAACATCTCAAAAAAGAAAGATCTATGCAGGCTTAGCCTGAATAAAACTGTTAAATTCTGTCAGTTTGGACAATTTCAGTAAGTTTGCACTTTAAAAGAATGACCTCAAAACAATTCAGTTTAATTATATCTCAATAAAAGCAGTACATCAATTTGCTAAAGTTCAAAATTCACCTGCATCATCATCAATTTGAGACTTCTAGCAACTATAGTGCGCCTTCATGTGGGAATCTAGCTATTGTCCAGCAGTGCAATGAAATGGCAGAATGGCTGTGTAATCCCCACTTGCTAATGGCAGCAGGCTTGCGGTATCAGCAGCCAGTGAGGGAGTCCAGAGTGGGTTATCTGATAGCTTCGTCTACTCCTCCGTAATCAAACTGAGTGAAGCCTGTGTGAGGCCTGAGAGGGCAGTGTGGCTCAGTGCCAGCATCACAGTCGCCTTGGGACACACGGACAACCCCATAAACACCTCTGTTACATACTGAGCAGCTAGTAAAAGTTCAGGACATTGTGTGTGTTTTTTCAGTGTGGAATTATGTTATAAAATTGGAGATCAGAGCTACAAGCAGTAGTAGTTTAACAGGAGCTCCAGCAATTGATTTGCTGAAACACCTGCAGTCCTGCGTCTTAGGCATCTTAGAAAAGGATATGCAAAGCCATTTGTCTGGACAGTAGGCTTTTAACAGTTAAATAATATATCAGAGTAAATGCAAATAAATAAATAAACAATACATTGTAATTCTATGCATCAGTCTATCTAGTATTTACACTTACCATATTGCTCTTGTTGTATTATATATTGCTCTTGTGTTATTGTTTTGTTATCCGGTGTCAACCAGAGGAGAATGGGTTCCCCTTTTGAGTCTTGGTACCTAAGAAACCTTGGATTTTTTACAACACCCATTGTAAAAGTGCTATATAATTAATGTTAAATTGAATTAAATTGAATTGAATTTAGCATCTGCTTCAGCTAATCGATTCTTTATTAAATTAAATCAGGTGCTGCTGATGGAATTTAACAAGTCCTTGGAATCCTTGAGTTTGGTCAGGAACCAAATCTGTTTTCTTTTATTGTACCAAAACATTCCTTTTTTTATTGTTTAGTTATGTTTATTTGTATTTATTCTAATGTTATATATTACTGGCAGAAACACATTTACTACCGAGAATAGTTTTTAACAATTTCTGTGACTGCGTAAGACTTTTGCACAGTACTGTACACTGCATAATTAAATCCCTAAATGCAAGAACCTCCTACCTAAAAAAAACATTTAAATCTCCTACAGAAGTTCTTATACCTTTAGATATGCACTGTTATTATTTTGTATTGTTTGTAAACCCTACTTTTTAGGATGGAAGCTGAAGAACAGTAGGAATCTACCTCATAAAACCAAACAAAAGTGGCTCTCTAAGTGCGGCCTTCAGATTAGATAGTGCAGAACGTGGTTAGAAGTGCTTAGACTGATAGTGAGCACTCAGCAATATTTGTTAGTTTTTTTTATAAAGATTCAAATGCTATCCTTATATATTTTGCAAGTTATCTTTGCCCTAGGGAGAACGGTTGAGAAACCCGAATATCGAAACAATCTTCCCTACTGACTTGAAAGCCTAGTAAACTCCCAGTGAACTTATCTATTTTTAATTTCTCAATACTGACTTATTCATCAGCCAGACGTCTATGGGCTCGGTGCTTTACACGGGTGTTGTTAGTGCCTGAGAGGTCAGAATGGGACACAGAAACGTGCCTTACACGCCTCCGCTTTGCACCAAAGAGACCATAGATGCAACAGGATAACAGCCTTTGTTTATCCTCATCATGACAATGAACATCTGTCCTGCTCCAGCGAAGATTTAGCCCTGGCAATGAAATGCAGGAATAATACACTGTTTAAGCTTTTAGCGCAGGGCTGGGCCACCGAGACAAGACCAATAATACAGTTGTTGGTAATGACTGACAGGCTAGTAACCAGTGCAATCTCAGATTAATTTACTGACCTGATTTTAAGGGTGAAGCTTTCTTTAAATGTTTTTCGTCATTGTGGTGGTGTAACGATGCGGTAGTGATGTGGGACAGCCAGAATGAAATGTTCCAAGCTCAGAGCTGACGGGCCATCCTGCTGTTACCAGGGGTCACACTGTGCTGGTGACAATGTCGGACCACATTACAGCTGACACAAGACGATTATCTTTTCATAGGGCGCAAGTAGTGCAGCCACCTACTACTGCATTACGATTTTAAAAGGAGCTCAGTGACCCACGCTGGAGTGTGTGTGGTTTTTGCCTGGAGCTTGCTGTTCAAAGTCCTGTTCCAGTTTGCTGGTGAGTTTTATATTAGTGGTGAGCCGTGGCTGTTAGAGTTGGGCCTTAATGCTGTCTTAAAGGAAAGAAAAAATAAAACTTCTCTGATAATGCTAATTTTGCACTAAGCTAACAGCGATTCGCATAAACGTTTTTGGCAGTTTTATTTGAAGCTTGTAAGACGCATATTGACATATGATTTACCTCGTAGCAGTTTTACAGTAATTCCTCCAGAGTCTTGGCACAGAGCTGCCACCGCGGTTTTCCATCTGACTGACGTTAGCTACGTATAAGGTTGCCACATGTTCAGGATTTCCCTGGATTTTCCAGGTTTTGGTTGCCTGTCCAGGAAAAAATTAATTCCATTCCTGGAATCCAAGCATTTTCATATGTTAGTATTTATTATGAACTTGCTTCTTTTTTTTTGCTTCTTTTTATCCAGTCTAACCATTTGTATTCCAAAAATGGGTGTGATGATTTTAGATTTCCCTCAACGGAGGGACAAGTGTTTGGGAAGGTGCACTGATGGTGACATGTTTAGGCACTGGGCAGCACTGCAACACAATAACTAAGAAGATTAGATTCTGTAGCTGAACTGACTTCTGTTTGCCTTAGAGCATAGCTACCCATCTGCTGAATTTATCAAAAACATCAAGCCTCTGATCGAGTGTCCAGGAATTTTAGAGCACTAAGGTGGCAACCCTAGTTACGTACCACTTGTACTCACAGTAAGTGATGCATCAAGGACTAGAAGACCTAGAGTGATGTTTTTTCTTACAAACAAAATGGTCCCAAAAATGGTCTGTTCCTAATAATATTGGTGATTAATCTGACATGTTAGACCTTCAGTTCAGCTCCTAAAAGCCTAATCAGTGGAAGAGCTTGCTTGGTTGTGTCTACCTAGACATTACGGAGACAAAAACCACGAGTGGATAATTTCACATTGGGCATTTAACCCAAAAAAATAATTACCAATGAAATAAGAATATTACTAAAGTTTGAAAGAGTTTAAAAGAACAAGCATTATGATTGTATAACATAAAAAAGAAGTAAAATTTACAAACGTATTTTTTTTCACAGAAATCACAGAAGGCCCTGAAGATTCTTCACATTTTTATAAATGTTGGCTGGTAAAGAAAGAACGTCATCTTTTGGACAACACAGGTATGCCTGAAAACTGTTTCTCTGTATTTTTTCCACCTCTGGATTCCACATTGTGCTTTAGCTACAGTACAACTTTAAATAAGACACAGGCCTACAAGTAAAAAAGTTGTAAAGCATTGTGCCTTTTGGTGAACTTGAGAAAGCTCTAGCATATTCCATTATGATCTTCAAGGTTCAGCCCCTGTTGTGCTCGAGACCATACGCAAACACACATCTGATAGATGTTTCAGTCTTACCCACAAACCCTGTGTTTTCAAACGGCAGCGCAACTAGCACTCTGTGCTGCTGACTCACTGTAATGAGGACGATGATGAATGTGGCTTTCAGAGCGGAACCTGCAAGCAATTATCGATCGTGTGGCTGGAGGGCGGACTTGCTGGGGGCTGGCCATGTGGCACACAGTAGTCAGAGTGATGGTTAGGCAGCCAAGGGTTTGCATCCAAAATGGACACAAAGGGTCCTTGTCTTTATGATGAGCGATGATTGGTTTCATCTGTCGTCTTTTTGCCTCAGGCTGATATGCTCAAGATGCAGAGGAAATCATTTTATTGCATGGCATAGTCAGTGTGAAATCTGTCCTAGATCCTTTATTACATGGACTCTGTTCATATTGTAGAGAGTTATGTACTCTTTTTGAAGAAGGATCTGTCCATATTTAGGGCCAGAAAAAAATATTTCTTCCAATCATGGAGTGGTGACCAGACATTATTCTGCAGGATTTTCTGGTAGAGTAGCATTTATGGTTCCGTCAGTCATTTCAAGTTGCTCAGGCTCTGAAGCAGCAAAGCATCCCCACAGCATCACAATACCAACATCATCTTTGGCTGTTGGTATGATGTTCTTATTGTGGAATGCTGTGTTAGCTTTATGCCAAATCTAACAGGACCCCTGTGTTCCAAAAGGTTCCACTTTTAATTCATCAGTCCACAGAATTTTATTCCAAAAAGGCTTTTTTGACAGTGTTTTTTGGTAAATGTGAGATGAGCTTTTATGTTCCTCTTGAATAGATGAGGTTTTCACCTGTCAGCTCCTCCCATGGGTACTATTTTCTCAGTCTTTTTCTAATGATGGAATCATGAACACTGACCTTATCTGAGGCAAGCAAGTGGGGCCTGCAGTTCTTTAGATGTTTATCTGGGTTGTTTTGTGACTTCCTGGATGAGTTGTTGCTGTGCTCCTAGAGGAATTCTGTTAGGCTGGTCACTTCTGGGAAGCTTTACCACTGTTCCAAGTTTTCTCCATTTGGAGTTAAAGGTTATAACTTTGGTTAGCTGGAGCCCCAGAGCCTTAGAAATAGCTTTGTAACAGTTTTCAGACTGATATATTCTGATAACTTCATTTCTCATCTATTCCAGAATAGTGTGCTGCTTGTTGAGAATTTTTAGCCAACTTAATATTGCTGGAAAGGTTGTATTTAATTCATCAGGACTGGCAGTATTCATGCCTGAGTGTATCTAGTTTAATTAATCCCAGTTATCAACAAAAAAAATGTTAATTGGATGATTGATAAGGGCACAGTTACTTTTTCACACATGGCAAGTTGATGCTGGATGGCTTTTTTCCTTCAATAAATGAAATGATCATTTAAAAACTGTATTTTTGTTCACTCAGGATGTCTTTGTCTTAAATAAAATGTAGTTTGAAGATCTGAAACAGTTCATGTGTCACACATAAAAGAATACAGGAGGAAGCAAATACTTTTTCACAGTACTGTACTTTTTTAAAATAAATATGATTTTTTTATCGGGTAAGAAACAGTAATATGTTCATTAACATGAACAAGGGAATTTGAACAAAGCACATGAAGGATTTTCTTTTATAATCTGTTGGAGGTTAGAGCATATAACTGCATATCACTGAATATTTTAGGAAAACTTCTTTGGTTGAACTAAATTTCACCATATCGTGTTGGTCATTGGTAAATTACTGTCAGCCTCAGATGCTCCATCCACACGTACACGGAGTGTCTGATATCTATAGTAAACTAAGCTGGCCATAACTATCAGGATTTTGTCAGTTCCATTCTGGATGACTAGCCTCATGTCTGTGTGAACGCCCCTCTGTGTAGTGGGTTTGATCAGTCTAATGGGAAGCACTCTTGCCCAATCTTAGATATCCTGTCTTCTCTGGACTTGCAAACATGTGGTCTTAAAATGAGTATTACAAAAAGAGTCCAAAGGGCTGTAGGTCTGTATAATTCTGCCATTACTCTAGGCCATAAGGGGGGATAATTCAGACTTTTTGTAAAACTCCAGATAGGCATCTAGAGATGCAGGCTTCAGCCAGCTTGTGGAGTTACTCAAAATTCTTAACAAAATGCGTTGTGACATAAATGAATTGAGAAGAGTTTCAAAAAATAATAAATAAAGTTAAAAAGTTAAATTAATATACAAAGAATAATACACACTAATACACAGTTAATTATATTGAGCACTTGAGTAAACTTCAGAAGGTAGGTCCAAAGACCATGAGACCTAAAGCCACAGGTTTAGGGTCCAGAGATTTCAATTTAGGCAGCTGTTGCTGGTAGTTGCCTGCACTTATGCGCCATGATAACAAAGAGACTTGCAGTGTGAAATATCTTCAAAAGACTGATAAGGTTTTAAAGCATACCATGAATCAAATTTATTCCAGCTTAAGAAAGATGAGGAAGCACGTAAGAAAAGTGTCTTCTCATGTTTGTAGATGCACACTGGTGTGTTTCACTGTGGTTTTTCGTTATAGCCCTGATTTGAGAAAAATAACAGGTCATGTTGCATGTCACTCTAACCTGTCAAAGTAGACAGTTCTTGACTGTTATGTGACAAAACGCACCGAACAATAAGCAGAAGTCTGGCTTGCAAGATGATAGTAGTAAGTTGACTTAATTGAAAAGATTTTCTAAGCTTTACAAAGAAAAAAAAAAATCACAGCTTGCTTTCATACTTTTGGCCAGTCACACAAGTTTGCTGCCAGTGCAAAGCTACAGTGATTTTTGGGATATCAGTTATGTTAATATCAGTTCTGGTTTGGATAATGTTGCACACTGAATGTTTTTTTTTCTAGCTCAATAGCATTTCATAATTCATGAATGGAATTAAAACGCAGATCTCTTGTTGTCTCTGTTTAATACCCTGTGCTCTCCAGAATAGTTGGAACACTTAGTGAAGATGCACAAAAGAGACAAGTTTTATGTCTTGATCAGGGGAGCCATTAATTCTGGGCATTGATGAAATAATCCCAACAGTTGCACAGTAAGTCCAGTCAGAGTCCCATGAAAGCAGGTCTTGACCTATTGAACCGTATGTAAGTGTGACATGGACACAAAGACACAGGCTGCTCACAGAGGCCTTCAGCGATAATATCCCGTTGACAATGGGAGATAAGGCTATTAGAGAGCATACACAGGAAACAGCCGTGACAGCAGCTCTTTGTACTCTGTGTACCTAAGATGCCGACCATTTCTTATCTCCAAGATATACGCGCGATTTCCTGCTTTCCCTTGGCACTCATTCAGCTTTTTAAATGTGCCTGGCATTAACACAACACTTGCACAGGAAGGAAGCACCTTATATGGTCACCCAGTTTTGGCGCCAGAAGCTGTTGCTCACATCTGAACAGCGTGGAGAGTTGGGCGATAAGCCATAATCCAGACCATTTTACAACAGTGTAAAGTTACTAAGTTAGTTCAAGGAATTTGTTTTCATTATTTGTTTTTTTTTTGTCACTTTTTAACCCTTTAAACCGTAGGCTTATTCTTACTATATTGTAACTACTATAAATTATTTGGTGACTTTTAAAACTAATATGTAATTCATGTAGCTATGAGACTATATATGGGTCCTTGCAGTCAAATCGTTCTGACAACAGAAAGGAGGCTGAGGTGGTTGAAGAATGCACACTAAACTTTTGCAAATTGTATTGTGGAAGCAAGAATTCCACATCAAATTAGCCTAAAAAAAGCCAATGTTGCAAAACATTTCAAATATACAGTGCCTTCCACATTAGATGTAAAAGGAGAAGTTTTCCAGCCGTTTACCACCCACGCTATCAGTGTTACATTTCCTCTATGTGACAAAGGAGGCTCTTAGCAGCTAGCCTGCTCCATCTCCACTAAATATCCGTGACTGTAATATTTGGCTTCGTTCTTGCTCACGTTTGATATTGAGCTTCCACTTTAAAGGCCACAGCTGCTGAGAGAAATCTCCCCTACTAAAACTCTTTGAACTTGGGGCATTAGGTCGGCCGTGTTTATTGGCTCCAGTTTGAACTCTTCCCCACGCTTCCCTTATTGCCCCAGCAGACTGTTTGACTTTGCCTGATCTGTCTGGTTTAGTATAACCTGATACTTATTGTCTTGCATTGCTGCCATAGGCACATTTGTTACATGTAGTTGCTCAACCGACAGTGTCTGAACATGAAAACCAGTGTGCCCTTTTTTCTGACAGCAGGCATGTCCCTAAACCTGTGGAGCGAAAGCAAGATAACTTCAGGAAGCAGACGTGTCTGAATGGCAGTAAACTGCAAACGATCTCTCCGGAGTAGTGTTATGGCTCACAATTGTCATTCTCAGCATGTTCTGTTATCTTGCCTATAGCAGAAATAGCACCGCCTCCCAAATGGCCGCAGCCACCGGCTCCACGCCGACGCTTCGTGTTTTGGGTAGCGCCACGTTTCTTTTTCCAGCTGTTATCAGTGCTCGCGGACATGTGGAGAAGAAACTCGGGGGGGGGTTGCAGGGAGGGAGGGTGGGTATGTTGCGGAGGGCCGAGTGCCTGCCTAGCAGCACACAGCGACCCTGAAACTGGGTCAGAGAGACGTGCCAGGCAGCTGGAACTGCAGCCAGAGGGCATGCATACACACACACACCTCCAGCACTATGGGATCAGACAGTGGCAGACACATGGGGCTCTCTGTCAGCGCTTTATTTCTCAACATGTGTGCTCTGTGCTATTAAAGAGAAGCCCCAGAGCTCAATCTTGCTGCAGATTTATTAAAATCTCTCCCAATAATCTAATATC